CCTCCCTTGCTGATGCTAGCTCACTTTGCAGATTGTTAATTGTTATCCTCATTTCATGCATCTCCCTCCTGAACTCCTCCAGAACTTGGGTTAACATTTCCTTCGTCTGGTCACTCTGGCTGTTTCCTGTGTCCCTGTTGCGGCCTCCTGCCATTTTGCCCCTTGTCAAGAGAGAGAGTAAGAGAGAGAGAGAAAGAGAGAGCAAGAGACAGAGAGCGCGAGAGAGAGGGCAAGAGAGAGAGAGCAAGAGAGAGAGAACAAGAGAGAACAAGAGAGAGAGAGAAAGAGAGAGAGAGAGAGCAAGAGAGAGAGAGAGAGAGAGAGAGAGAGAGAGAACAGAGAGAACGTGTGTGTGTGCGTGTGTTATGGGGATCCCTTAAAATGTCAACCTCAACCCAAAATGCGCCACTTTGATATTTTAAATGTATCTGATATACTAAACAAGAATTTGGTAATATTTTACCTCTGTACACCTGAAGAATTGACCAGAGAGGGGTACCTACCTGTCAGCCTCCCGCTCACACAACCAGGTGAATAATTACGATGCTGGATGACGAAGTGCTCCGTCGTCGCCTCCCACGTGGTGATTCACTAATCCAGTAGATTGATGATGGCGGTTCTTCTCTATCTAACACAAATCTCTGGAGTCAGTCACTGTATCGGTGTGTCTGTTGTGTTACAGTTCACCAATTCACTGTACCACTGATCACTTGCCCCAATATGTAAACAAAGGCCTCGTGGGCCCTCCCACGTGGCCTGTCTGGTGAATTCACTGTTTAACACAAAGTTCTAGTGATAGCACTGTATTTTTTCTTTCCTATTCGTGGCAGTTATACGCTTTGTGATACCCCTAGATCTGTGATCTGTCACTGTAGCCTTAATTAACCCAAAAATATTGGTGTTTATTGTAGCGCATGACCCCTGCGACCCTCGACCCTCGACCCTCGCATGGCTGGCTGAACTGAACTGTGTTGTTGGGGACGCTGTACTCACCTAGTTCTCACCTAGTTGTGTTTGCGGGGGTTGAGCTCTGGCTCTTTGGTCCCGCCTCTCAACCGTCAATCAACAGGTGTACAGATTCCTGAGCCTATTGGGCTCTATCATATCTACACTTGAAACTGTGTATGGAGTCAGCCTGCATTTGGGTGAGGTGATATGTTACAACAGTTTTGGATGAGGTGAAAACAAACTTTCAACACAAGACAAAACACGAAACAATGGGTATAATATTTTGAAGGAAAGGGAAGAATGGAAGTAACTGCAGAGGGCCTATTGGCCCATATTTCTTGATGCTTCTATATTGGTGCGGAGTCTTGAAGTGGGTAGAATATAGTTGTGCATTAATTGCCTGTTGATTGCTGGTGTCGACTTCTTAATGTGTAGGGCCTCGCAGATATCTAGCCGCCTGCTATCGCTGTATCTATCGATGATTTCCGTGTTTTTTGTTAAGACTTCTCTGGTGATGGTCTGGTTATGGGAAGAGATTATATGTTCCTTAATGGAGCCCTGTTGCTTATGCATCGTTAATCGCCTGGAAAGAGATGTTGTTGTCTTGCCTATATACTGAATTCTTTGAGGTTTACAGTCCCCAAGTGGGCATTTGAAGGCATAGACGACGTTGGTCTCTTTTAAAGCGTTCTGCTTTGTGTCTGGAGAGTTTCTCATGAGTAGGTTGGCCGTTTTCTTGGTTTTATATTAGATCGTCAATTGTATCTTCTGATTTTTGTCTGTAGGCATAACGTTTCTATTAACAATATCTTTCAGGACCCTTTCCTCCGTTTTATGAGCTGTGGAAAAGTAGTTCCTGTAAAATAGTCTAATAGGGGGTACAGGTGTTGTGTTAGTTGTTTCTTCAGAGGTTGCATGGCGTTTCACTTTCCTTCTTATGATGTCTTCACCGAAACCATTGGAGAAGCCGTTGTTGACTAGGACCTGCCTTACCCTACAGAGTTCTTCATCGACTTGCTTCTTTCCCGAGCTGTGGCTGAGAGCACGGTCGACATAAGCGTTAACGACACTCCTCTTGTACCTGTCTGGGCAGTCACTGTTGGCATTGAGGCACATTCCTATGTTTGTTTCCTTAGTGTAGACTGCAGTGTGAAAACCTCCGCTCCTTTCCATGACTGTTACATCCAGAAAGGGCAGCTTCCCATCCTTCTCCATCTCGTAAGTGAAACGCAACACAGAATACCGCTCAAATGCCTCCTTCAGCTCCTGCAGATATCTGACATCAGGTACCTGTGTAAAAATGTCATCAACATACCTGCAGTATATGGCCGGTTTCAAGTTCATGTCGACTAAGACCTTTTGTTCGATGGTACCCATGTAGAAGTTCGCAAACAGAGAAGTCTTAACAAAAAACACGGAAATCATCGATAGATACAGCGATAGCAGGCGACTTGATATCTGTGAGGCACTACATATTAAGAAGTCGACACCAGCAATCAACAGCCAATTAATGCACAACTATATTCTACCCACTTCAAGACTCTGCACCAATATAGAAGCATCAAGAAATATGGGCCAATAGGCCCTCTGCAGTTACTTCCATTCTTTCCTTTAACTTATAAAATATTATACCCATTGTTTTGTGTTCTGTCTTGTGTTGAAAGTTTGTTTTCACTTCATCCAAAATTGTTGTAACATATCACCTCACCCAAATGCAGGTATAAAATCGAAGATGTTTAAACTCTGTTCAGTTATAGTTGTGTGTGTGTAAACTAAAGTCTTTGAAAATGTAATAAGTTTTATGAAACGCGTTCAAGTGTCACGTCAGACTAGAAATAATAGTGAATTTTGGAGAATAGATTTTTCAATTACCACCAACAGTGAAAAGAAATGCACGAAAGATTGAGAAAATTCGTGTTAGAATTATTGATCTTACTTTTTCGGTCATATTTAATAATATATGTCTACAGGAAAGACTGCTACCAAAATATACTAATATATATATATATATATATATATATATATATATATATATATATATATAAGTGAGTATGACCGGTTACTGAAATCAATGCTAGAAAAAGCCCTTAACTTCTCTCTTGATGCCCTACAGTGGAAACAAGCCTCTCTTCCCGTAAGACTTGGGGGCCTCGGAGTTCGAACAGCAACGCAAATCGCTGTTCCAGCCTTCCTGTCCTCTTTATCAGTTTCCGACGACCTTGTGAAGGAAATTTTACCTGCCCACTTACATCAGCTGGCAGGTGTACATGATCCCAATTTTACATGCTGTGCCACAGAGTGGACCTCTCGTGCAGGCTCATCACCTCAACCACCATCCCCAAAAGCCCACAAGCAATCCAGCTGGGATGGTCCCATTGTAGACCAAGTTGCTGCAGAGTGCCTGGGTATATGTGTATTTGCGGCGAGGTGGTGGCTGACAGGTACGGCCACCATGGCCTACTCTGCCAAAGCACAGGGGGATGGCACTCGAGGCACAGTGAAGTTAACGACATCATCAAGAGGAGCCTCACCACAGCTGGATGCCCAGCTGAAAGAGAGCCCCGTTACCTAACGCCCCGTAACTCTGATGCTCTTATTGGTCGCCCGGATGGTATCACAGTGAATCCCTGGAAGAATGGCAAGCAGTTGGTATGCGCTGCCACCCACAGGGAAGCTGCCTTTCACAAACTAACAAAATTCTTGGTCTCAGAACAGCACTAATGGTAGAAACCCACAGTCAAATTCTCATCCTCATAAGTTGCTGAGATGCTATAGTCCACGACCAACCACTGCCTCGTGTTGGCACTGTGGTAAGAACAACTACCTAGCAAAGTATTGCTGGCCCACTGCTAGGTCATCACCCCTAGACAATTTTCTCGATCTTCTCATCATTTCAATAACTCTAGGCTTCCATATCACAAGTATCATAAAAAAGTTGGCCACCACACTGCAGATTGTAGAGCTCAGCAAAGGTTATCCCCACCTCGTAGCTCCTTTGGTCAGTCTTGGTGAGGTGCACAGCATCCAACACAGTATCAGCACTCCCGTAATTACAATAATCAATCGAATTACAATATCCGGTCACAAAACAATGGAGCTCAGAATGTTCACCCCATGTTGTCAGGGAATCCCAATGCAACCTTCTAACCAATTCAAGTTAGCCAGTTCTAGTGCCGTCTCTGTGTATTCAGTGGTTACCCAAAATAGATTTGGACACCTGACAAAGGAGGACACTGACACTAGACCGATTGTAGATGTTGATGGAACCTGAGTGAATTTAACCCAGGCAGACATCCTAGGCAATATAGGTCACAGGCAGTAAATTGTACAGTTTCAAGTAATGGTCCTCTAGTATCTGCCATTGTACATGGTAGAGGTTAAAAGTCTTTGTTGATTCAGGTGCTAAAATAAATATAGTCAAGCCTTCAGCTCATAGAGACATTTCAATTAAGCACTCTGTCACAGTAAGAAAGTCACCCGTATCTTTTCTGAGTGGTGTTTTAGAAAATAAAGTAAAAGTCAAGCGGGAAATCGACTTCCCACTCAAGTAAAAGGACATCATTCTGTCTGTAACATGCCTAGCAGTTTACAGTTACAGTTGAGAGGCGGGACCAAAGAGGCAGAGATCAACCCCCGCAAGCAAAATTAGGTGAGTACAGTATCCATTTTCCTTGTGACATTCCCCTAGGTTTGTGCAGTATAATGGATGAAAATATTGCGTTACTTTCCCCATCGTTGGCATATCAGTATAAAGGACACAGTTATACAGTTATACATGTTGACAGCTGACTTGCAGCGTCAACAAAAGCGCTGTTGACTTCCTTGTCGTAGTCGCATACCCGAGAAAACAGGCACTCAGTTGAAGGATCGTAGTTATGCAGTTGCTCAGGAGAGTGAGTATCAAAACTTTCTGGAGGGGGGAGGGCGCCCTAACGAATTCTTGTTATGTTGCTTGCCTAGTGGCTTCCATCTCTGAGGTCAGTGGTTCTACAGTTGCTGACAATGAGCTGCACTCTCATTCTCTTACAAGAGTAAGAGTTAAGGCTCAGGGAATGCCTGAGTTATCAGATGTCATTGCAGAAAGTAGAACGTGTAAAGTGAAAGGTACGTTTGTTGAATTCTCCTGATAAGTAGTGCAAGATGGTACCGTTTCATTGTATGTTGCAAACACAAGCATTGCCGAAATCCATCTCCAGTCTGGCGCCCACGTTGTAGATTTTGCCCATTACTGGTTTCCGGTGCGAGTGGTGGATGATGTTTCCGTAAAACACTTCAGTCCTACTGATTTCCCTGACTCCATAGTTTAACGTTTGGAAATTTTGAATAAAAATAGAGCAGTTGTAGCTCTACCTGGAGAAAAGTTAGGTCCCATTCCTCATATTTATGCATAAAATTACTTTGTGCAAGGAAATAGACCAATATATGTACCAGCTTACCGTTTACCACATTCGCAGAGAGCAGAAGCTGATAGACTTATAGAGGAAGTGTTACAGGGTGATGTGATCGAGTCCAGTAAATCATTATGGAATGATCCATTGATTCTCGTACTAAAACGAGAAGGGACATAATTTTCCCTCTCCCAGTCGTGACCTTTTCCCACTTCCAGTCCTAAATAATTTGCTGCAAAGAATAGGCCAAAACAAAGTATTCTCAACTATAGCTTTGTTGCAATGATTCTGGCAAATCCCACTCGATGAGGAAAGTAAACAGTTGTCAGCCTTTAGTACTCCCAATGGTCATTTTCTTTTCAAAAGATTGTTGTTTGGGCTATGGAGTAGTCCAATAACGTTTTCAAGGCTCATGATGAATCGCTTTCATAGAGTGATAGGTAGTACTCTTCTAGTGTACCTTGATAATCTCATAATTATATCGCAAGATGTTCAGACTCACTTCCAGAACCTTCAGAAGTACTTGCAAAGCTTGCAGAAGTAAATATAACAATAAAACTATCAAAGGGCTCATTTTTAAAGGAAAATATAATTTTTTTTAGTCATACAGTTACCCCTTCAGGAAACATATTGAATGAATAAAAAATTATCGCTGCCTGTGATTTTTCAAAGCCACTAACGCGGAAGCCGTGAGACAGTTCACAGGTCTTGTAGGATTTTTATTGTTCATTTATTTCTGGATTCTCTATCATAGCCGCACCACTTTACAAGTTGCAAAGAAAAGATGAACACTTTGTTTGGGAAGAAGCCCAAGAACAGTCATTCAATAAGTTCAAAGCTGCATTGATCTTGTCACCTGTCCTTAGGTACCCAGGTTTGTCTAAACATTTTGTGTTGGTCACAGATGCTAGTTATGGAAGCTTGGGTGCTGGATTACTCCAAACAGAAGGACACAAATCACACAATAGCTTATGCTAGCCGTATATTTTCTAAAGAAGATAAAAATTATAGTGTGACAGAACATGAAGCTTTAGCAGTTGTGTGGGTTCTAAAACATTTCAGGGATAAATTTTACAATTATCCTGTTCACGTTCTTACAGATTATCAACCTTTTATCCCCTTTGTTCAAAAATAAGAACACCATCGGAAAATTTGCTAGATATCTGCTCACAATTCAAGAGTTCAATCCCACATTTGGTTATATTCCAGGAAAGCAAAATATTGTAGCTTATGCTTTTTCCCGACACTTAGCTTTAATTCATGTAAATTACGTAGTAATAGATGCTACAGAAGTCGAGACAGCACAGAGACAAGACCTCATATTGATGCCTGTCATTAAGTTGCAGAATAAACAAGATACTCGGCCAATTCACAAACCCCCAGTTCCATTGAAAGAGTTAGTGGTGGTAGACAATTTACTGTGTAGAGTAGTAAAGCTAGGGAACTGCCTAGGAAGTGTTGTCAGTTAGTCGTTCCAGCTATTTTGGTACCAACTGTGTTAAAAATAGTCCATGCAGGTGCACATTCAGGAAAGAATCATACACTCCAGCAAGGTCAAGTGAAGTATTTTTGGCCCAAGATGGCTAAAGAGATTGCTCATCATGTTGACAGATGTTTAACCTGTTTACAGCACAAGGGACATGTCTTGGGACCTAACCCAATTCATGTGTACCCAGCGACTAAAGTACCTTGGGAATGAGTATTAATGGATTTGCTGACAAATTTTACAGAAACAGAAAATGGGAACAAACACTTGCTTGTAATGGTTGACAATTTTTCACACTATTGCGAACTAGTTCCTATCCCGAACAAAACAGCAGAAACTATAGCCAGTGTATTCCATGACCAAATAATTTTTAGATACAGCATGCCAAAAGTTATTCTCTCAGATAATGACCTCGAATTCAGTGATAGCATCTTAACTAGTTTGTGTGATTTATATAACATTAACAGATGTAGTATTATGCCATATAATCCAGCAAGTAATGGGTTAGCAGAGCATACTAACAGAAAAGTGTTAGATGCCTTGAGAGTCACTTTGAATTTTGATAACAGTAATTGGGATGAATTCATATCATTAGTACAGTGTGCCATAAATTCTTCCATTAATGCCTCTACAGGAGACACTCCTCATGCTATTCTTTATGGTACAAATAAGATTCTTCCTAATGAACTGATTAATGTACCTCTTGCTTTTTTGTATAAGCTAGAGGATTTTGTTCAAGTATAGACAATTCAACTAGTTTCAAGAAAATACGAGAACACTTGTCTAAGGTAACAGCGAACTTTACTCGACCAAGGAATGCATGAGCGAAGCCCAGTAAGATAACTGTCAGATCTGTATTAATGGTACCTAACCAACACAGGTCTGGCCCTATGTACAAGCTAAGAAATTTTTGGGTCCATGTAAGGTAATAGAGCTTATCAAGGGTAACAAGTAGAAATTTAAGAATTTTTTAACAGAAGAGTTTTAAATTAACATTTAGACCACATGAAGTTAGCTAAAATGACTGCTGACGAGACTGATGCAGAAGATGACAACGAAGCTTCCCAGAATGATTCTTATTCTGGAACGCCACCTACTGTGGTTGTCAGACCACTTGACGTAGAGCTACCCCATGCCTGAACCTATAATCTTAGATCTAGACCTTTAGTCTCAACTATGCACTCACCACAATTCTACTGGCTTGATGTTAATGACATTAACTACCCCGATGAGAGCTGGTCACATGCAGTTTCATCTGTTCTTGACCTTCAGTCAGAGAAAGTGTTGTATAGTGCTCTTGAAGAACTAGGTGTTGACATTCGCAAAATCTATAATTAAGTGCATTTTTCAGTTATCATCATGTTTTTTAGGTCAAGCAAGAAAACTATTGTCCCCTTGATAAATGAGTTCTTTTGTTTTTTTCGTTACTTCCTAGTAGCTTTACCATGTGTCCTATTATTACTGTATTATGCAATGCATCTACTTATTTCAACTTAGTTTTGTTTCGTAAACATATGCCATTGTGAAGTCTGCTGTGCCAATTGCATTTTTACAATGCATACCAACAAGAGTTCTATTTGTGTTCTAGCAACGACACTGAGGCCAGTGATTCCTGACTGCTATCACTAAGATAGCAGCAGAGCATGAAGAACATATGCATTTCTAAGTATCAGATAAGAACAATACATACTTAAAAAGTAATGCTTAAAACAAAATTATCAACATCATGTGTCAATGACATGTGCTTGGAAATAATTCAAGACAATTATGTGAATTAATGGAACAAGAGTTATAACCTAACAATTACAATGAATTTATAATTAGATAACAAAAAAAATATTGTATAATATTTACAAGATATTTACAAGGACTGGACCGAGAAGGCCCGATCCGCTCCGAGGACATTATCAGGTGGGGAGTTTGACTGGGGCGGTACATCTGTCAAATGATAACGCAGGTGTCCTAAGGCCAGCTCAGCGTGGACAGAAATCTCGCGTAGAGCAAAAGAGCTATCTGGGCTCACGAAGGGTCCCTCTTTAGTGCAGGCTTGGAATTCTCAGGCTCCCTCTCCGGAATCGAACCCTGATTCCCCGTTAACGTTATAGCCTCTTTTGCTCTACGCGAGAATTGTTCTTACCGGAGCAACCTCGCCTTGCCCTACTATATATCCAAGGTACTCCAGGCGGACTCTCCCAAACTCGCTTTTTGCTAAGTTGATCGTCATGTTGGACTTCTCCAGTCGATCGAACAAATCTAAAAGTCGATCCACGTGATCCTTCCAGGAATCAGCGAACACTACAATATCATCGATGTACACTGCACATCCAGTCGCGCCTTGTAATACCTGATTCATTACTCGTTGGAAACAGCTACCACTATTCTTCATTCCGAACGGCACCACTTTATATTGGTACAAGCCGTCGGGTGTAACGAACGCTGAGATCCTCTTGGCCTCCTCGGACAGGGTTATCTGGTAGTATCCCTTCAGCAGGTCTATTTTCGAGACATACCGTGCACTCCCAATCCGATCTATGCAATCATCTATGCGTGGTATTGGGAACGAGTCTGCGACTGTGACGGCATTCACTTTCCTATAATCGGTGCAGAACCGGTATGTGTCATCACTCTTCTTCACGAACAGGCACGGCGAACTCCAGTCACTGTCGTTAACCTCTGCCAAGTCGTTATCTAGCAGATACTTTACTTCTGCTCTCATCGCCGCTGCTTTCTCCGGGTTAACTCTGTATGGGTACTGCTTGATGGGGTCAGCACTCCCTACATTTACTTCGTGCACCGTTCCGCGGTGTCTTCTGGGCACGTCCGTGAATAACGACTTATTCCTCCATAGGATCTCCACTAGTTCCTGGCGTTGGTCATCCTCCAAATGACCCAGACGCTCACCTATCTTGGCCAGGCTTTCCGTATTCGATATCTTCGCGCCATAAGCCCTCTCTAACTTACAGTTCTCCTTTTCTATTCCTTTGCCATCTCCCACACAAAGCACAGACGTAAGTGACGGGGTTTCCATCTGTTCTTCCTCGCCTAGAGGCTTATCTCTGTCATAGTACCTCTTCATCATGTTCACGTGGCAAATCTGTGACTTCCTCGGACGATCTGGCATGTGGATTACATAATTCACATCCCCTAACGCCTTCTGGATGGTATATGGTCCACAAAATCTCGACTCGGATATACTTCCTTTCATCGGCAGTAGGACTAACACCTGATCTTGAAATCTCCTGCTCTTCGCCTTCCTGTTGTGATATCTTACCATCTCTGTCTGGGACGTTCTCAAAATTTCCTTGGGCAAATCTCTGCCCCTAGAGAGTCGCACCCTAAAAGTTTTCACATATTGTCCCACATCCACCTTAGGCCTATCCACGGTGAGCTGCTCCTTCAGCGCGCCCACAAGGCTCCTCACGGAGTGTCCGTACACCAGTTGAAATGGGGTGAATCCGAGTGATTCTACTACCACATCCCTGATGGCGAACAACACAGATGGTAAAGCCTCGTCCCAACTACTCCCTTCCATAGTGCAGTATATCCTCAACAAACTCTTTAGCGTTCCATGGAAACGTTCCAATGCTCCCTGCGACTGAGGGTGATACGGTGACGAGCGCACTTGCTCTACCCTCCATCCTTTCACAGTTTCCCTAAACAACTTCGACTGGAAGACACTCACCTGGTCCGTCTGAATAACCTTGGGCATTCCTACCCATGCAACGTAGTTCTGTATTCTATCCAGAACGGCTCTCGATGTCACTCTTCTCAGGGGGATCGCTTCGGGGAAACGGGTGGCTGTGCACATTATGGTCAGTAAATACTCGTGGCCTCTTCTGGTCCTTGGCAACAAACCTACACAGTCTATCAAGACTCTCTCAAAAGGTTCGCCAAATGCCGGTATGGGCTTTAAAGGTGCCTTCGGTATAGCTGGAGCCGGCTTACCTGCACGTTGGCATGCCAAACATGTCCTACAATACTTCTTTACATCCTTCCACACGTTCGGCCAGTAGAAGTGCTCCTGCACCTTATTTAAGGTCTTCTTCACCCCTAAGTGCCCTGCCATATCTACGGAGTGGCTAGTTCTAACACAGCCGCCCTAAACTCCTTCGGCACTAACACTTGGTGCTTCTCCAACCATACCTTATCTGCGCCGGCTTTGTCCAGTCGCCACTTCCTCATTAGTACGTCATCGTCCAAGTAGTAATACACGGGGGACTCCGGACATGAGTTTCCCCCTTTTGCCTCCCTGATTAGATCTATAAACTCCTCTTTCTGAGCCCTAATCAGGTCCGCTCGGTTCATGCTGAACCTTTCAGGTAGGGTCATCTTCACTTCCTGTCTCCTCGAATCCTCATTCTTCTGAGCTGGATCTTCACCGAACAGGCCAGACATGTCCATGTCGACCCTTAGTGGAGTCGACACTGCCATATCATCTCCTGTGTCGACCTCGGCGGCTACTTCCGACTCTGTCACTACACAGGCCGGGTATACAATGACTTGACTGTCCTCTGTTTCATCTTCGAGGATGCTGGCTAGATATACCTTGTCCGGTGTTCCACTTGTACCGCGGTCCTTCTGGTACTCCTCCGGCACAGCTTTTACTATCAGCTCTGGCAACACCTTGGACCCACACAAGTCGTTACCCAGTATCACTTGGACTCCTGGAACAGGTATGTTGGGGCACACTCCCAACATCACCTCCGCCTACAAATAATCTGACCTCAACTTGACAGCACACACGGGCATGTCACTCTTAGACAACAACCCATGTACCTTTTTCCTCCTACTGCCAGCTAACAGTCGATCATTTCTTATTAGGCCTCTCAGAATCAAGCTCTGGTTGGCTCCAGTATCCCTGAGGATACTAACCTCCACCTCGGGTTGACCTTCTATGCCGACCCAACCTTTACTAATGAACGGCCTATACCGCTCGTTCATCAAATGTACCTTCTGTGGTTTGTCTTGTTGTACATCAACGTCCTTCTTCCGGGATCACACGTGGTCAGGGTCACGACTCTCTTGCCCTGCCGACAATCTCGCATCATGTGACCCGATCTGTTGCACTTGTAGCATCTCATGTGGGAGAAATCTCTCCTATACGCCCGCGAATGGCTCTGACTCTGCCCACTCATATTGGAGTTCCTTGGGCCAGACGTACTACTCGTACTCTGTGGAGCTTTATTGGACTCTTGTCTCCTCTGCACATTTTTATTTTCCTGCTTACCTCCAGCAGGCAGACTCGGCAACTTTCCTTCCTGGGGCTTAAAACTAGCTTGTCTGCCCCCCAAAACTTCTTCCTCCCCAGACTCCACCGGGTCTTCTATTGCTGCGTCTCGCCTCGCTTCTCACTCTGTTCTCCCTCAAGCTCTTGTATGCTTCAGTAATCATATTTGCTCTATCTGTGGCATCTTTCACCTCCTTTACCCCCGCTTCTTGGATCTTGAACTTTGTTTCGGGATGCATCATTTCTAAGAACTTTTTCATGACCATCAATTGCTTCAGGTCAGCGTAAGATCCAACTCCAGCAGCCTCAATCCATTTCTGGAATAGTTTTTCCAGATCTCTTGCTGTCTCAGCAAAAGTACACGCTCCAACTTTGATCATCTCTCTGAAGCGCTTCCTATAAGCTTCTGGGGTTAGCTGAAACGAGCGTAGTAT